CTACAGTACACTCCTGCGTAGCCTTCCAAATACGTTTGAAGGCCATGCATCCCTCAGCAGAGCAAGGCTGAGGCTCAGAAAAGTATTTAAATCTACAGAAATCAAGGAATAAACATCTAGGAGTTTCTGTGGTTTCTGGATCAAACCCTGAGTGAGTAGTGAAATGACAAGTAGCAGGACCTTGTCTAGTCTTCTGATAGCAGGATGGTAGAGTTCTACCATCTCAGCCCATCTACTCTATTGTAAATATACAAAATGAACATTCAAACCATAATTATTTTTAAGTGGTGGTAACAAAACTTCTGACTGCACAATTATTCATCTCCACATATTTCATTCCAAGGAATGTAAGGAAAGATATGTACTACTCAACATACATTCAGACTATTGCAAAGCACACAACCAAAATATCATCTAAAAGAGATTAATTCCTGCTGAGGATGTTGCCTCTTTCTAGCGACTGCAATTTGCCACATAAGGAAGTATATTTCTGATGATCCTAAATCAAGCTTCCAATAGGGAAGATTTTAAAATATTCTTGTGTTGTAACAAAATGTTCCCACTGGTGTTGTAATGAAAGAAAGAGAGAGAAAAAAACCCATCTCCTGGCAGGAAATTAATTATTGAGCATTCCACTGCTTGATGATGCGCTCCTCCATTCTGCGCAGGCTTTCCATTTTTCTCTCTCAGTATGTGGAGAAATTCACTATGGAGAATGTACAAACAGAACAAAGAGCACAAGAGGATCAGTTTATTGAATGTGTTTAGAAACCGAACAGACCTGGAGAGAGGAACTTGGTTTGTGCATCACCACATCTGGCATTTGTTCCCTCTTTACATTCCTCTCCCCCCTTCACCATTAGATTCTTGCTTCTGCTTCTGTTCTCTGAAATCGCCTCTGTCAAGAACGGATGCGCCTGGCTTTTAGCATCAGTTACCTGCGACAGTTCTGAAATGTCACTTCCTTTATTTAAAAAATAAAATGGAAGATCTCATATCTTGATGGAAAGGGAAAATAGAAGCCCACCATTATGCACCTATGTCTAAATAGCCAGATGTAATTCCATTTTTAAAATCATCTTCCCCCCCCCCCTACCCCATGTCCAGCCCATTTAGTAAATTTCACCCCTTGCTGCCAGTTTTAGTCTCACTGTGAAAAACTGAAAAACCTACACAGGCCATAATTTCACCCATTAGTTACATGACAAAACATACAGTCCCTGAGGCTACTTTTGCACCCGGCACATGCACCCAGAACAACTTCTCAATTTGGTGGGATCATGCCACTGCAAAAGCATCTCCAGAAGAGCAGACACTTCCCAGTAACCAGCACCTTGGATCCTTCCTGGATGTGGAACTACCAAACTAGAGAAGGAAGATGCAACAGACTGAAACAGCACATGCCATCTTCAAATAGTATTCTACATCAGCAGTGCTCTATAGCTTAGCTAAGGCATAATGAACTGTTTGAAAGAAATGAGCAATTTTTGCTTTTAAAAAAGGAGGTAGAAAGGTTATGGAAAACTACTACAGCAGATCGCTGTATGATTCCTGCAGAAACTTTAATACCAGCTAGGCTGCTCAGGACCCTCTCTCATGGTCATCACCATTTGGGCTCTTTCATCCTGCTGGGTAGGATGGCTTGGACTGTACTGCCTCTATCTGCCTTGCAGACCTCACATTTGTCTGGCTCTGTGCATCAGCAGCAGAAGTCTCCATAGCTACACACAGACATTCAGTGTTTTCATCTGTTGTTCATATCTGCAAATATTTAGCTGCTGCCTCCCATCCTCTCCTTACTCCTCCTGGGTCTGTATCAATATAATGGGTTCCCCAGAGACCAGGAAGCACCTTCACATATGCAGAATGTCCCACTGAATGGGAGCATTCTGGAATAAGACAAACCATCCATTTCATAGCACCTACTCTAAGCACAGCTGGTCGTGCAAGAGAGCGCTGCAGGAGCTGGAGATGCAGCAGCAGACAAGGACCCTCACTGCATGAGGTCATTCGTGTGGCCCTGAGAAGCAGGGCCCTGCAGGAGCTCTGACGGTGCTGATGGAAACTCTGCATTGTGTTCACCTAGTTTTTCATCCCAGACTCTTGACTTTTTAGCACATCCAGGCTGTTATTGATTCTGCAACTGATAGGGAATGATACTAGCAGTGATTCGGATTGCATTGTTTTGAGACGAGGGAATGAATTTTTAATTATAAAGCAGGAGCACGTTTAATTACTACATACAAACATGGAGCATATGCTGCCATTTTACAAGAAACTGTTCTGAAGAGAAGCACCATGCTCTGCCACCAAGCTCCCAAGCGACAAAAATCACACTCTCACGAGTATCAGACTCGCCATCTGTAAAATGTTTTTCATCTCTAGAAGATAATGTGAGAACTATGTGTTACAAATCATATACTTTGTGACAGATATTATCACTTGCTTTGGAGCAGCACCTTAGGACAAGTGCTTTTTCTCCCCTGTAAGAGCTCACAAGAGGCATAAAACTTCTTAAAACCCTATTTAGCAGTGCAACTCATATATCTCTCAGAATTTCTCTTGTATGGTAAGAAGGGAACAGGAGGTTTTTTTCATGAACATAATGTCATTCAAAGGAATTTCCTCTGTAGGATGACATTCTCCTACAGGACTACAGGAATTTTTGATAAGGCTGTGTGCATCTGTACAAATGAGTTCTAAGTTCCAGAAAGTGAAATTACTTTTAACTCCTTCTTCTACACATGACTGAGAGGCAAAGCCAAAAGCCTATTACTCTTTTTAAAAACAGATTACTTTTGTATTCCTTTTCAAAAAACGTCCATGAATTAATGATTAAATCTGCTACAGTTTTGAGCAACAAGAGATCAGCCATGCTAACAACACAGAATAGAAAGAGACTGAGCCAACAGTCAGAAATGTAGAATTACACTGTAATGAGAGACTGTCAAAACCCAAGGGGAGATCAACCTGGAATCAACAGCTCTTGCTGTACTCAAAATCTGAATTTCAGAGGTTAGGATGATGCAGGTCAAAATGCTGTGGAGTGACCCCATCAGCAGCTAACGACATTAATACAAAATCAGAGCTTAAAGAATGGCTAATTTGACTCTCTTCTGATAAATTGTACATCTTCTATAATCAATCCAAACCAAAACTAATTTCCAGCAACTGCACTGCTCTGACAGTAGACAGTGCCTTAATATAATTATGCATAGACAAGAAGAGATAATGACCTCTGATTATTTTTATGGAACATAAAGATACATTGCAGTATTATGTGAGATATAGATTAAAATTGGTATGTTACATTAAACAAATTGTTCTCTCATAAACCACTGCTGCTTTTTCCTCTTCCATCGATTCTTGCTGTCCTTGACAATCACGATGAGTTACCTAGTGAGGAGCAAACATAACTTTGGAGGAACTACTACTACGCTGACACCGATATACCTTCAGACCCAAGTATTTGCATCCCTTCCGCCTGCAAAGCCTGTGGCAGAACAGAAGAGCATCTCGTAGACGATTTATCCAAAAGCTCTGTTCATGTTTATTCAACAGCAGCTTTTCAGAAGATACATTAAATCGAGTCCTCTGATAGCCATCTGCTTCCGCTCAAATCGCTCTGGTCCAGACCCGGAGCCGTGCCCTGATCGTGGCCGAGTGACCCCGGATCTCCAGGTCGGGGCGGCGGGAGGGCGCCTCTGCTCGGCCCCGCACGGACCCCGCACCGAGGCTCCCGTTACCCACAGAGGCACCGTGAGCCCCGCACCGCCCGGCCGGACAGGTCCCCCCGGCCGGGAGCGACCCGAGCCGAGCTGGAGCCTGCAGTCCCGTCCCCGACGGCGCTCGGGGGCGGCTGTGGGTGGCAGCGCCGCCCGAGGGGAACACGGGCTGAGCCGCCCCCGCCGCCGCAGCATCCCCAGCGCCCGCGGAGCCCCCGCGCCCCGTCCCTGCCCCGGGCCCGGCACCGCTCGCCCCAGCGCCGGGGCTCCCCGCGGTCGGACGGGCCGGCGCCGCGCTCGGGGGAAACTTTGGCCCCGCCGACCTCCTCCTCCGGCCCCGCGCCCGCGCCGCCCCCGCTCCGCGGAGCCGGGGGAGCCCGAGCAGAGCGGCCGGGGCCGGGCGGGGGAGGCAGGAGCGGCGCGGGGAGCAGCTGGGGCAGGTGAGCGGGGCGGCGCGGGGGCGGAGGGAGGGGTTTCTGCGGGGGTGTTGGTTTACCTTGGAGGTTCTGCACTCGGATGTCGCTGATGTGCCCGATGAGCTCCTCGCGCTGGAACCAGTCCCACTCCTGCCCGGCCATGGGGACGCGGGGCCGGGGGTGAAGGGGGCGGCGAGAGCCGGCGGCGCCGCCACCGCAACCGCCGCCTCCACCGGCACCGACGGCGGGCGCGGAGCGGAGCGGGCGGGGGGGCGGCCCCTCTCCGCGCCGGCTGCGCCCCGCCCCGCGTCCCTCCCTCTGCTCCCGCCGCGCCTCCCTCCCTCCCTCCGCCCGCCCGGCCGGGAGCGCCGGAGCGCTGGCGCGGGGCGGAGCAGGGCGGGGGTCCGGCAGTGCCCCCCGCGGGCATCGCCCCGCCCGCCGCCCCTTCCTCTCCGCAATAGCGGAGGCCGCGCCCCCGCATCGTCTCTGCGCCGCCCCCGCGCCGACCGCCCCCTCGGTCGGGGACCCCGCACACGGAGCGGCTCGTGCGCGGTCCCGGGGGGCTGCGAACAACGCCGAGCGTGTGTCCTGCTGTGCCTGGGGACTGGAGAAGGGGCGTCCCTAGAATAATTGTCATGCAGCCACGGCAGCAATGGAAGAACGAAAGTATGAGCAGCAGAGGGGTTCTCCTCGTGGGGATTAAATCAGTGCCATTATACATTAAAAACATTTATACTTGCATACTGATTTAGGTTGCTCTTGCTAGTCCGTCTGAGCCGTCAGATTTCCTTTGAGGTGAATTTTCACATTGGATGTCTTCATTTACACCTTTTTTCATCAAACTTGGACAGTAATTGTTACCAAGGCTCTGCAGTGTCACTAAGAGCTGTTCTCTACAAACCTGGTGAAAAGCATGAACATTTCCTTTGCATACGAGGCGTTTCATTACAATATACCACTATTTGTACTTACGTGCCTGTTTTCAAACCATGACGACTGTATAATGTAAACAGCAAACTTTGATACGATCTAGTCAGACCAGTATAGCATCAAGAGTTAGACTAGCAGAACACACAAGCCGAGATCTACAAAGTTAAATATAAACAAACTGGGATCTAGAAATTGTGGCTCTTTCAAGTTGGAAGTGTTTTTGTGATCCCAAGCAAACACTTATTCCACACAACCAGTTGTTTCACCCAGCTCAGGAATGCAGCGCTCTTCCCACAGCCTGCTCTGGTGATTTCTCTATTACTACTCAAAATCAGATGGAGATGGTAAGGAGGCAAAGTCATCCCTTTAACATCTAAGAGGGATTCATCACCACTATAATATGCAGCAGTCAGCTATCCTAAAATGCGGTCTCCAAGAGTGGAGCAGTCTTCAACTGCTTATATACCCAGACTGGAAAGTTTTGCATAGGTGTAAGGACAGATGGGTGCCATGATGAAGACTTTATAAACCTGACTGCAAGGAGCAGAAAAAACAGCTTGTGAAAAAGAAAAAGCATCTCAGCTCAGACAGATCTGCAGAAATCACAATGCTGTGCTTTGACTTCATTTTGCACTGGGAGGACCTGTTTGTTCCAGGAGTTGTCTGAGTGGGCTGAATGCATCAGTACCACATTTAGAGGTGGAGCTGGAAACTGAGCCAGTGTGGCTGTGGGAAAAACAGGCAAATGACTTCACAGCATCAGTGAAACAGTCTGCAAGAGGTGGCTGGAGATCCCCAATACTCACTGCAGCTCGAAGCAAGGACTACTGCCAGTGCCATATGGAGACAGCTGAGGCTTTGTCCCATTGTGTGTGGGCACCCTCCAGGAGCTGGAGTGTCATGAGCTCTCTAGAGAGCCTGTCCCAGTCTGCACTGGCCTGCTCGTGAGACCTCCCAGTGGCCATTTGCTCTGGTCAACATGCCAGCTGGAGAAAGCCGTATGACATGAGGGGAAGGTAAATGAATGAGGAATAATGAACCAGTCTGCAATCTTCAGCAGCAGACTCCACCACTTCTCTGGGTGCCCTGTTCCAATGCTTGACCACCCTTTCAGCAAAGACTTCTTTCCTAATATCCAATCTAAACCTCCTCTGGAACAGCTTGAGAGTATTTCCTCTTGTCCTATCACTTGCTACTTGTGAAAAGAGAATGACCCCCACCTGGCTATAACCTCCTTTCAAGTAGTTGTAGAGAGCAATAAGGTCTCCTCTGAGTAGCCTTTTCTCCAGGATAAATATCCTCAGCTCCCTCAGCCGCTCCTCATACAACTTGTACTCCAGACCCTTCACCAGCTCCATTGCCCTTCTCTGGATACACCCCAGCACCTCAATGTCTTTCTTACAGTGAAGGCCACAAAACTGAACAGGACTCCAGGTGCAGCCACAGCAATGCCAAATACAGGAAGACGGTCACTGCCCTGGTCCTGTTGACCACACCGTTTCTGCTGCAACTCCTCACTGCCAGCCCCACCTGGGGTGTGATGTTGCAGCTGTGATTCATTGTTCCTGCATGTTTTCCTGGAATTAATTACTGCCTTCACCCTCCTTGCTATCCTCATGCAAGAGCTGCCCAGCTCCACTGTCATGGTGGCTGAGGGTGCAGCCCATGCTATTGACATCTCCAGGCCTGCCAGGTAGGTGGCTGCATTCGACCCGCACAGCCTGGGTCTCAGAGTCAGGCTGGGTTTAGGATGTAAATGATTAACACTGTGGGCACGGGGAATTTATAACTTCCGCTTAGAGAGAGAAGAAGGGCATTAAACCTTTCTTATCTGGGAAAGCACCTGCTCTATGCTGCCTTGCCCTCTGAAGGCAGGATGGCACAGGTTGGTGTGGTCCAGCAGCAGCACAGGCTGGAGCCGCCTGCTCTTCCTGCACCAATGGAGGTGAGACTGTCAGCACAGCAGCCACCCCTTCTCCTGTCAGAGGGTCAGGCCGGACCTCAGCAGGGGGTTCAGGTCCATCTGCCAGGTCTGACCACTCTAGTTTCTAGCCTCACACATCAACATAAGCTGCAATGACCTCATCTTAATACACTGGACTGCAAGCTGCTGTGAATGAAAGCCCTGGTCCAGTTTCACTTACCAGGTGTGCATCTCCGTCCAGGGAGGCAGCAGCTGTGTCACCTGCATTTGTCAATCCGAGACTTTCAGATGGCTCTTTAGCACCTTCACCAAACTAACTTTGTGGTTAGCAGAAGGCCTCATAGATAGAACCTCCTCCTAGATAATTGTAAAAAAAATTGCCATATGTGCAGAACCAAATGCTCCAAAATGGAAATGTAAGCCTCTAAAATTGTAAGGACATTACAAAATTGTGAGATCCAAAAGGGCATCCTTTATAAACATTTTTCTTTAATATTTTACATTCTTCCCTGCAAGCTGGGGTCTATGAATCAGCTCAGCAAGAAAGTATGAAATCTGAGATTCTCACATAAAGCCAGAATGTTACCTGTCGTAAAATCTGTAAATGCTTGTGGGAAATTATCTGTGAAAATGCTATATGCCTTCTAAGAATTAACTGATTGTATACAGTGAGGAGTAAAGAACTCTTAAACAAAGAGTGATTTCAGATTTTATTAACAAAGTCCACTTGCCTTTTGATGTTTAAGGACTATTCTATAACTGAAAAAGCAGGTTACATTTAATTAAGTCCCTTGGCTCAGACTTGTTACTTAGGGCAACACCGTAAACACTTGGCAGAGACTCTGAACTATAATAACAAGTTTATTAAAAATAGAGTTTGGTCACATATGAGAATGCAGGGAGTCTGATAGGAAGTTCATGGGGAACCTACCACTGTTCTGCATAACCTTCATCTTTTTTTTTAGTGTATGCAGAATAAAGATGTTAAAAATCTTTTCATTTCCCCCCCTTTGCATATCTTACCTGTGAGTGATTTAATAAGTTGAATTCGCAGTTTGAGAATAAAATCTCTATTTGTAGATTGTGTGATTGTAGGAACAAAACAGCCAAATCCTACAGCTCAGCTTTGTGACTGTCCAGATGGAGGGTGTCTAGTGGCTCCTGCTAAAATGGCAAGGGAAGGTATCTGACACAAAGGACACTATTTCTGAAATTAAGGAAGATATTTATGCCATTGTAGCTAAATTGCTTTCCCTTTATAAACAGGGTTCCCCATATGAACACTCATTCCAGGAATGCTTTTTTTTTCAGGTTTTGTTTAAACCAGTTCCAGACCAATGGTAACCAGAAAAAGATGTTGTCTATCGTGCAATAGGTACACTTGTGTGAAAATATTGTGTATATTTAACCCAAATCTCAGAGAAGTATAACTTCCTATCCCTAGCCATCCATGGCTGCTTTGGCCAAAGAGCTACAAAAACAGGTTCCCACTGATCCTTCCTAGATATCCCTCTGCCTACAATCCCAAAACATCCTTGTTGAATGCCACAGGTCTGCAAGGTGCTTCTCTGCCCATGACAAATAGTGTTTTGGGAAAGGTCATGGGCATTTGGGTCCTGCCTGCACTACTGGCATAGTCCTTGAGTCTTTGCATGATCTTATGGCTTGTTAAAGATGCTACAGAGAAGGTGAGAATCTCACTCATTTTTTAATCCTTTTAGTCTTTCTGAAGTCTTCCAGAAAGAGGATGGAAAAAGCTTACCCTATAGCTGAATGAGAAAGAGGGAGGAAAGTTAGAGCTTGTAACACAGGAAAGTAATCCACGTTCTTATTTAACTTTCATGTTTTACAGATACATTACAACCTGAGCTGAGTGGTGACTCATTTTCAAGGCAATACTCATGCCACTATAGGTCTCATCAACACTTTATTTTCCTTGCTTAGCCCATATCTGAAACACCAAGGAGTGCCAGCCATGAGAAAAGACTCATTAGCTCTCCCAGATGAGTAGGTAAGTGAAGATTTCATTTCTATTACCCTGTCTGACAGCAGCCACCCCTTAGTCTGGCTCCTCTGCCCACACACATGTAAACAACGGGAGGGGTACCATGTAAAACAGACTTTCAAAGAAAAGCACCGGAAAAGTCAGGAGAAAAAAAGACAGTCTAATTCAACCAAGTAAACAGGAGACGCTCAGAAAAAGGTGCGAAAGGAACGAGAGGTATTGTAATAAGAGGAGGAAGTCAGGTCATGTACAAAATAACCCCCAAATAAACTATGAAGTGTAAGTGCTTTATGAGTTCTTTAAAGGCAAGAGAGAGTACTCTAAAATGTGTGTTCTACAAAGTTTGATAACAAGCAATGAATTAATTTATAAAATTTATAAAGTTTATATAATCAATAAAACGAAGACCAGCTTAGAATTAGGAGTGCCATGCCCTCTTGGTCCCTTTCAGCTGCTAAGAGAGGAAGGGGGGGGGTGACTCTTGGCCCTGCCTCAGTATACCACTGAGCATAAGTACAAACTCTGGATGTTGATCAGCCTCCCTTCCATTACTCTGTTGTGTCTTCTCCTTCCTTGACTCCCAGAAGTCCACCACGTAGCCCACACTGATGAACCACACTGATTCACAACTGTTGCCAGGTGATGGCAGTAAATAGACTATGGAACTTGCTGGAAGGTCTCTATGTGCTGGGTATAAGTTTCATCACACAATCCATCAATAATACCAGGAGTTACAGTGACTTCTAACTTGGAAGCTGAATTTGTTTTATTTGCTTGCTACCAAGGTAAAGTTTGTTTGAACCGACTTAATAGCAAAATGCACTTGCTATTTTCAAGACTTGGCCTTTTGGGATGATGGTGTGACATCACAGGTACAGCTTCCACGTGCAAGAGCTGTGGAGATGAGGTCCTTCTGGTGGGAGCAGGGTTGTATGGATCACTCTCAGTCCTTTCTCTGTTGCTTCTTCATTCGATTTGGTAAGCATGGTTTATTTTAAGGTGTGATTTATTGAGAACATGAATGCTTTATTTGACAGAGGCAATGGGAAAGGTCCTTCCCTGGCCTTCAGGCTGGTTGTCTTACATTCAGTTTGGTTTTCTTTCTTGTGCTGTTCTTTCACTCAGATGGAGGTTGGAAGAAAAGGAGAGTAGTTATGTAAAACTCATTTGAATATTATGTACTTGTGGAGCTGATTTGTTTCTGTTGCCATGAGCATTTCATTCAAAATCTCCTCCCTTACTAGGGCAGAACCCTTCCTTGATTCAGAGAGGACTTGACGTAGCAAAAGCTTCATGCAGTTTTTGGAAACTTGTTTGTTATTTTTCCCCTTTATTCCCCTTCTATTTTTCCTCTGTTTCTGATGGGTGCAGGATGCAGCTTTCTCATCCATGTGACAGGATTGTGTAATTCTGCCCCTTTGAGCCTCACTTGCTCTCAGTCATCTGTGACCAACTGAATTCAGGACCTTCAGATTCCCTTCTGTATGCTCCAGCACGCTATGAAGATTTGTTGCCCCAGTAGATACTGAACAAAGGTTACAATATTTACCAGTAAAGGAATCACTTTTCCATCGCTAGATGTTGTATAGTACCCTAAGGGTGAGGCAAAAGACCCAAGAAGTAAGGCTTTCACCTTGAGAGCATCCGAGTGTCTCCTAGGAGTTTCCATCTCTTCACGACCTGCTCCCATAATGTGAGCTTCATGGTTTCATCCTATCTGATCCCTGTGCAAAGGCAGAGATACCAGCCTGGTGCAAGCAGAGCCTTGAACAATAACCCAAGAAACAGAGGGGCCTATGCTGTGTCAGGGCTTACTGCGTGGAAGGAGAGAGGGACAGCAGAGCAGTGACTTGGTGTGATGGGTATCTCTGCAGATCATGATGTCTGACAGTAGAGTCCACAGGGCTGTGTAAGCTGGTAAAGTTGTGCAGGAAGAAGCAATCCAGCTGAAACTTGCTCAGGGCCAGCCCTCTCTGTGGCACTATGTTCAGCTTCAAGTGACCCTGGCTAGACAAACTGCCTTCTTCTGCCTGAATTATCTTGATTAGAGAAACTTTCATTGTGTACCCTAGAGATACAAGTCAAGGCCTCTGCAATAATATTCACTGGCAAGGACTATTTCTGAACATAACTACAAATATTTAATATGGAGTAAATTATAAATCAGCCTGCTCCAACACCAACCAGAAGTGAATGCTTCAAGTAGAAAATGGAGATTGCCTGCTCTGGTTTTTACCCCATGAATATTAGGATTGGAAGCAGAGCAGTAGGTAATTATTAGTGTTCAAGCACTGCAGTTGCAGATGCTATAAAAATAATGCTAACATTGCTGGCTTTTATACATAGATTTCCATCTGCAGATTTCAAATCTCTTGTATATTGCAATCTTCTGTAATTTCCTGGTATAACCTGCCTGAAACGAAAACTACGAACCCTGAAATATTATTTGATGTTTTAGAATACAACTAGTATATCTTTGCAATGAAATGTTTGTGGAAGAATGAATTATGTGTGATCTATTCTGCGTACTTCATCATAGTAACAAAATGAATGAGTTTTTTAGAAGCCAGCAAGCAAGAAGTCTCCTTTTGAACTGCCTGACCTCTTTCACAGCACTGGAGATATCAAATATTCTTCAAATGCAACAGTCAGCTAAACTGCCTGTTGATGCAGCACCCTACAGGAGTAATTAAACCTTTCTCCGATTTGTTTGTTTCTGTTTGAAGAAGGGGTTTCAATTTTACATCCAGTGTGAAGTCAGCTTGACTGTGAAAGAGATGTGGGAAGAGATTCCTTCCCTGGCCTTCCCAAACAATATTAGCTTTGGAAGTAAAGTAGCAGAAATATATAAATGTTTCAAATGGAGGGCCTGTTCCCTGTAGCTGATAAATAAACTGAATAATTTTTTGAGGTAAGAAGTGGATGACTCTGATGCGTAACCTGCCAGGCAGAGGCTTTTGCAGTATGAGATGCACTAATGGTTCCAAGCCCTTTCAGAGCAGGCATTTTCAAACCTTACTTGTATTTCCCTGAATATTTAATGTCACAGTTCTGCCAGAAGCCTCTGAAAATAGGGAGAATTAAAACCCATCGGTCGTTCCATAGCAGCAGGAAGTCGATGATTTAGAAAGTTTCTCTGTACTATATTTCAAAGTGTGACCTTGAGGAGCTCTAGAAATGTCAGACATGTCCTTGTGGTGTCTGTAGAGGCAGTTTAGAAGTCATGGTTAGTGATACTTCACCTGAGCATAGTTAACTGCAAGCATCTGTCAGGGTTTATCAACCTCTGACCAATATGTCATTAAAGACTAATCACTTTAAAAGTCATGTTAGAGAACACACAGTGGAGCTTTTGCTTAACCAAGTTTTGATGTCCCCCTGCTTTGCTGGGGTCAGCAGGGCCCTCAGGATTGGTTTGGAGAGCAGCACTCCAGTGAGGACATGTTTCTAGTGAGAGGTGGCTGCCTGCTTCCTTCTCATCTGTTCTTGTCCCCTTTTCCACATACATTTTCCAATGAAGATCTGGCTTTCAAACACATTCTTTAAACAGAAACGCCTGTAGATAAAACAAAAAGTGGTCTCTGGCAGGTGTGGGTCACCAAAAAGATCTTTCTGTGCACGGTGTGTGCACGAGCATAGAAATGCAGGCTGAAGTGATAACTTGCCAGTGGCTCAGCATGGGGATTTCATCAAAGTTGCCTCTCCCCATGTCCAACCTCCTCCTGCATCATCCAGTCACACCTGTATCACAGAGATGAGTTGAGGAGCTAAAAATTGGATGGATTTGTATGTATTTATGCATTGTTTTCCCATGTCTAAGTACTTCTTTGTAAGAATGAACAACAGTTAAAGAGGAAGGCAAGAGTATGAGCAATCATCACTTGGCAAATATTATTAGGTCAGCTTTGATGGAAATATCTATACTTTGCTTTTCAGAGAGGTTCAGGAATGTATCCATTCATGTTGCAACTCCCTTGACTTGAACTGGAAGGTGATCATAGATATCATAGTACAAAGTTCAACTGGTGTAATTTGAAAAGAAAGCTCGGAGCTGGAAAACACTCTAATTCTTCTCTTAGAAGAACTGCTAAAAAACCCATTTGGTGCAATCTCCTACC